TATCCCCCCCCGGCGGCCCCCAGGGCTGTAAAGGCCGGGCCCTTGGGGGGGGGGGGGATTAGCAGCCGAGGGGCTTTTGTCTGACCTCCCCCTGGGAGGATTAGCGCAGATTTGCAGTTTAGAAGGGGAAAGGGGGGGCTGCTCCTGCCCTGCTACCCTCGGAGAAGGGACAGCGCCAGCCCACAAAGGGCTTTGCTGTGGGAGAATGAAGTCCAGGGAGCAATGGAGCAGGCCCCACCCTCCCCCCAGCTTCTCAACCCACAGCAGGTGTGAGGGGCACCCCCTCAGCCTGTCCACCCCTGCCACTGCCCAGGGGGTGCCCGACTGTGCCAAAGCCCCTGGCCATTGCAGCCTTACAACAGCTGGCACCGGCTACGAGCTGGGGTGAGACTGAGCAACCGGGCTGCAGTCAGCCAGGCACTATCGTCTGACAGAGTGAATGATCAACAGAGGGGATGTGCCTGCCTGATGTGCACCCCAGGAGCAGATATAGCCATAGCCCCCTTCTGGGGTGAGCCCTAACACTGACTTGTAGGGTAAGAGGGGAGATTGCAGCCAGAAAGCTGCAAGTTCTAATCCCAGCTCTGACACATGAGGATTGCGGTTGTCACTAACTCCTAAATTTTTGAAGGTGCCCACTGATTGGGGGGGCACCACATTAAGCCAACACCTCCCCCCGAGGTCTGGGCATCCAAGATTTTAGGCTGCTTCTGGAAAGGGGGAGATTCAGCTGTCCTGCACCTCAATCTCCTCCTCTGCAGAACGTGGCAAATAACCACACACCTGCACTTCATAAAATCATGGAGAAGTTGGTCTGGAAGGGACTTCTGGAGCTCATCTAGTCCAACCCCCTGCCCATCCCTATCCAGACTACCCCATATAAATGTTGGTCTAACCTTTGACTAAAATTATGCAAGCAACCATTACACAACTGAATCTGCCACTGGTAAAGCCAGGGGACAATGGCCCCATGGGCTCACAGGTGGGGAGGGCCCTGCAAATTCACTTTGAGGACATAGGCAGCAAAGCATCTGCAAGAAGGAGGAGTGCAGAGGCTCCATATACCCACCTTCACGTAGTGCCCAGGACACCCATGCTATGGAGCCTCAGCTAGTCTGAGAACTTGTGCAAACTCCTGGGCACCAGGCAACAAGTGGTTTGATCTGAGCAAGGACTTCAGAGCAGCCCCAAGGCAGTATCCCAGCACAGCTGGCAACAGGATCAGACCAGAACCCCTGCAACCCTGGAGCCAGAGTGCTGCTACCCACTGTGCCCTGCTACCCAATGTAGTAAGCTGGCTCCCAAATCCTGAAGGGCTCAGGGGCAGCCTGTCACTAGGCAGCCAAATTTCACCTGCCAAACTCCACCTGATCCCTAAGAGAACCCTTCAGCTATGTCATCCTGGTCTGAAACCAGACCCAAGTTGATTCAGACACTTCATGAAACTAGCTGCACAAACCAATGGCGCTGGAGCAAAATCTCAAGCTCATTCAGTTGAGTCAGCAGCAAACCAGGGTCTAGGACAGAAGCGAACAACTTTTGCAAGCAGCAGACTGGAGCAACCCAACTCTGGTCCAGCACCGGCCAGGTGGTTTCAGCAGCGCAACAGCTGCAGGTGGGGAGGCATAGGCATAGGCACAGGCAAAGCCCTGCCAAGAAAATGGCCTTTACTGTGCAGTACCTGGGAGGAGCAAGGGGATTTGGTGCCATTTCCTATTGGACCGTGCCCTAGTGCACTGAGAGTTGAGCAGATACAGGATGTGCCGCCCTGTTACATAATACAGCCCCGGGCAAGGCACCCGGTGAAAAAGGTGGAGTAACTTCATATTTACC